AAGGAAGGAAGGAAGGAAGGAAGGAAGGAAGGAAGGAAGGAAGGAAGGAAGGAAGGAAGGAAGGAAGGAAGGAAGGGAGTTCCAGTCTGTGTAGGCAATCAATAAATTAATCAATCAGTAAAAACTTGACTATTATCACTGACCAGTCCAGAATAAGCCGTAGCACAACATTTGACTACACTGAAAAGCTGTATCTGCATCTGCCAATAAAAGGAAAAGTATAAAATGTATCAGGTGCTCCTGGTCTGTTAGACAAAACCAATAATATGAGTAACAATTGAGCAATATAATAGAATATGAGCCAGGGTCTCAGTTTGTCCCTTAAGCCATAAGGACAAATCCAGTCTTCTACTGGGGTATTACAAAACTTATCCTTCAACACCACTGATGGTAAAGGCAATGTCATCTTTTTGTATAAATTGAAGTTCTTAAAAACAATAGTAGTTTGAGATATCACAGCTGAAATTTGCCTTTGCTTTTTGGACAAGAGCCATTATTAACAATACGGAAGTGTTAAATCAAAAGAAATGCTGAGCTGAACTTTTTTTGCACAATAGCTGGCTTGCGAATCTTGTTTATCAGAAAAAGCTAGTTATTTCCCTGTGACTCAGTTGTTGTAAAAAAAGAAAAAAAGATGGAAATCAGACTGTAATCCAATATGTATTCCAATATGAGTAAACCAACTGGATTTATTTTGGAGTAAAGACATAGAGTATGACTACCCTATCTGGTCTGGAGAAATCCAGGCAACCACCAGATGGCCGCAAGGAATGAGAGTGTTCTCTATCTTTTAATTGCCACCTTGGGGCTGGCCAGATATTTTCCTACCTGGATTTGGGAGCCTTAAAAATATAAACTCCTAGTTGAATTAGAGTAAGTACAAAATCAAATCTAACAATCGGTATTGTGTTCCAGTAGGGTTTTTTGTTTTACTTTTAATGACCCACTTTTAGTGCAACCATAAGTACGGAAAGGAACCCTAAGATTATATTAGTATAATAATGGATTGCTATCCATTTTTAGAGTGGACGTTTTAGTAGAGGTAAAGATTTAGCTCCCCCTTGTGGAACTATGCCTTATGCTACTAGTAATCTTGGGGAAACTAGATTTTGATTGTTTCAGTCAACATTCCTGCATATATGTATTCAGTATTCTTTGTACTGTGCAATCAGAGGATTCGTATGCATTTGGAAATGATGATCATAACTGCCATGATGGTGTTGATGATAGTAATTTTTTTTTTTAATAACATTTAGTGCCAGCTTTATCTACCACGGTGATACCTACAACACCAGGTTAGTGTGACTTTGTTCAACACTAGGTTAGTCTGATGGAATGTCTTTCAGACTTTACTAGAACCTTGGAACTTAATTCTGTCCTAGCATAAAGTTTTGACCTAATGTTCAGTACAGTAGATCATTTATTTTATGTTGTAACTGCAACAAACAGTGGAGAGAAGAGAGCTAAGATTAAAAAAATATAAATTTACAGCTATATTCAAAGAAGTAATAACTATATTAAGTACAGATTTCATACATGCATATTGCAGCATGAACAGAAATTCTGGTGGGCTTTCCAATGACAGCAGAGCCCTAGAAACCCTCTGAAGGAATAAAAACATATAGAGGGGGTCTTTGAAATACTGTAGCAGAAAAGGTTCCATGGCGCATTACCATGTATACACACGGATGCTTCTTCTCTTTTTTCACTTCATCTGTAATCCAGGTATGAAGGAAAAAGGATGCTGGATTCATGTATCCCAAGAAGCCATAATATTGCTCATTTTCATTTTGCCTAGCATACTATGTGGCCCCAGCCACTGTGTCTTGTAAATTAAGGATTATGCCTTAATTTATGTGTGAACTATATTCTAGCACCCAGAGGTTTCCCTCTAGCAAAAAATAAAACAGAATAAACTAAACACTCAGATTCTTCATCTTAGAAAATATGAGTCTTACATTTCATCTCCTCTTACTTTTAGTAAAGCAACTGGGCATCTAGGAAAAACACAACATTCTTTTACATCACACCCAAAACCAAATATAATCAATCATGGGAAGAATCTCATTTAGGTATGGGGAAGAAATTAGTGGGGTGTACATTTTAATGGAAACTTTCATAATTTTGTGTTTTTAATCTAATATGCCTGTTGAAAATTGAATTGTGAAAATTGTGAAAATTGAATTGCAATGCGATATTCCTATTCTATCCATCATGTACCAAATGCTTACATTAAGGAGCATGGATGAAAAAGCATGTATATTAATGCAATTGACATACAAAGATGCTTTATATTTGAGTAAATTTCTTGCAAAACATTATTATTAGATAGAAATGCGCATAACAAATATGTATCATTGGAAAAGGATGCATACAAATACATGTCAATTTTCTTGTGAATGATTTTTAAACAATGGTCAAGTGGAGGAGAAATGGAATTTGAAATGGAATTTGAAAAATGAGAAAGCGACAGCACCAGATTGACAGATTTGTACATTTCTAATTTCAGTTGTCATATATGAATGATGGATATAAGAGGGGATAGGTGTACAATTGTAAAACATGAGAGTTCAGCTTAAAGTTAGATGGGAAATGTGGATGTTTGCAACAGAGTATAAAACAAAATAAAACTAAGGCACTTCCAGGAGTCATGTGGGAAAAAGAAGAAGAAGTTCTTGGGAAAAAGAAAAAAAAACTTTTTCCCCTTTGGTCAGTATCCCTGAGCTTTCTTCCATCCCTCCATGAAAAGAAATAAATATAAATACCTACTATTCCGCCATTTAAAACTCACTTTGGATTAAAGTACAGTTAGGAGAAGTTTTCAATCTCAAAGTCTTTATATGATAGTCTTCAGATGTCATATGATAGTCTTCCAGATGTTGGCACTATAACTCCCAGAATTCTCAGAATACTAGATAAACCCGAAAACTGGGGAAGTCTGTTCTGTGAAATGAAAGAACAAAACCTACTGTTTTTTCCTCACTTCCAGCTGTCAATAAAATTAATCTATTCACTTTGGTCTTGCATAGGACTGTCTCTTAGACTTGCTGACACCTACAACTATTGTGAGGGACGTGTGGAAGTGTATTATGAAGGAGCCTGGGGAACTGTCTGTGGCAACAACTGGGATATTAATGATGCTCAGGTTGTTTGCAGGCAGCTTGGATGTGGGAATGCTGTTGCAGCCCTGCCGTGGCCTAAGTTTGGTCAAGGCTCAGGCAGAATTCTCCTAAATGACGTACAATGCAAAGGAGATGAATCCCATCTATGGGACTGTGAGAACCCTGGGTGGGGTGTACATAACTGCAGTCATCAACAAGATGCTACCGTTCTCTGCACAGGTATGTGTGAGTTTTCTCGAGTCTTGATTTTTACTGGAAGTATGGAATCAATATGGTTATTCACCAAATGGTACATTATTATGGTATAGGCAGTCATAGGATAAGATGGTTCCACAATTACAGATATCAGTTTCATTGTTCCTATGTTGTTGTTATTGTTATTTCAAATTTATTAGTTGGCCAACTTCAATGGACTTTAGGTGGCATGCAAAATTGAAAAAAATCCATAAAAACAGATAAAACAGATAAAACAACAAACCAAACAAACAGCCCAGACTAAAACTATTTTATAAACAACACAAATCAAACAAAACAGGGCCCCCAAAATTCAATAATACATTGATACATCAACTCCCATCCTGGGACCCAAACCAGGTTTTAAGAGCTTTCCAGAACCCTAGAAAAGAGGGGGCTGTCCTTATCTATGGGGAAATGCTGTTCCAGGGGGTGGGGGCCATGACAGAGAAGGAAATTATTCACCTGAATGCTCCAGATGATCAAGCTAGTACAGGTACAGTCGTGCGAAAAAGAAAGTACACTCTCTTTGAGTTCTATGGTTTTACGTATCAGGGCATAATAAAAATCATCTGGTCTGTAGTCCTCAATGACAGCAATTGGGACCAGAATTTCCATCGTTAGCAATGTGGTTGTGCTTTACAATAGTGTGAGGGAGGCACAGTGAGGGTTGGGGAGGGTGCGGAGGGGTACATGAGTAGTCGGCACAGCACAACTGCAGAGGGGCTGGGGGAGGTGTGTGGGTGGGGGAGACTTACCCCAGTGAATTGCAACCTTCCCTGCCAGCTTCCCCATTGACTTTCTGGGGAAGCCAGCAGGGAAGATCGCAAATGGTGATCACATGATCGCAGGGTGATGCAACCAGTCATAAGTGTGAGCCAGTTGCCAAGCACCCAGATCTCAATCATGTGACTGCGGTGGTGCTGGGCAGCCAGAACTCTGAGGACGGATCGTAACCACCATTCGTTCAGCATTGTAGTAACTTTGAACCATCACTGAATGAATGGTTGTAGATTGAGGACTACCTGTATTCTAGAGTACTTTGGTCAACAGTGTAGACTATTAATAGTGTCTCACCAAGGGTTACAAGGTGCTGTAGCATGCTAAATGTGGATCTGTATCAGTTCTCAAATCTCTGTGCAACCTTTGCATAGTTACTTCTAATTAATCATTCAAGATGAACTATGAGTCTGCAGTAGAAAGGAGAAACAGAACAAGTACTTGAACGCAAATCTTGTATAGCCTTTCACATATTCTCTGTTGCATGTGGCCTACTGGTTGTTGCTTTTTTTGCTGATAGTTCCCATGACATTCCGTTAATATTTGGATAACTATGAACATATGGAACGAGAGAATCATGTGGGAAGTTGTTACAGCTTCTCTGTTGGTCCCCTGGGAAAGGCAGAGCTTATTTGAGAATGTCTGGTATGATCAATTTCTCCCTTGTGAAGGCAGCAGTTCAAACAGTGCTTGAGCAATTACTGATTAAATTTTAAGGAAGAGGAATTCTTATTACATAAAATGGTAACTCTTAATTATTCAGCTAATCAAGCTCCTTTGTAGAACAATGGTTCTGCAGAACTCCAATAACATTCATATTTTCCACTCTTTCAGTTGCTGTACTGAAAAGTCTTGGACACAAATCTTTATTAGTAAAACTAATGTTAAAACCTCAAGAGCAATTATGATATGCTCAATTTGCTCAGTGCTGGCATTTCATCTGAATTCCAAGGCCATTCTAAATGAGTTCAGGAAACAAAATACAAGTAGTTTGTATTTAACGACCACAACTGGGATCAGCAACTCTGTCACTAAGTGATGCGGTCATTCAGTGAAATGTCATGTGACTGCACCCAACTTATGACATCAGTTCCATTGCAGTCATTAAACAAATCACCTGCAGTTGTTAACTGCAACGTCACATGACCATGACTTGCGATTTACTGCTGGCTTCCCCACTGACTTTCCTTGTCAGAAGCTGACTGTTAAAATCACAAATAGCAGTCATGTGATCACAGAATGCTGTGACTGTTGTAAATACGCATGGTTATGATGCACCCAAATTGTGATCATGTCACTCTGGGGATGCTGTGAATGGCCGTAAGTTTGAGGACCAGTCATATACCTCCTTGTTCAGTGCCATGTAAGTTCAAATAGTCACTGAACGAGGCAGTCATTAACTGAGGATTACCTATAATCTTTTCCCTTAATTATCTTGTTTCCCTCAGTTCAGTTTACTATTTGTGCTAAATAGCATCTTAAACAAAGAGCTTAAAACAAGAGCTTAAAATGTTGCAAGGAAAAATAAACAGTATTCATGCAGATTTGGATTAATCATTAGTGCTTTAACCTTTTTTAAAATTGTTTTCTTACAGCTGAAAAGTATAGACCAAGTAAGTCTTCTCTTTCATCTTTATAAACATTGTTACCTGTTCTTGCATAGTAATAACGTACAAAACTCTGGAGCATCTTATCAAATCTGGTATCCTCCAGTTCTGTTGGATTTCATCATTGCTGGTGGGAAATAGGTTGCAAAAGGCTACTTTGGGCTATTATTTACATTAAAAGCCTGCATATTAATTGTATTAATGGCTCTCAGTATGGAGTTAACTAGCAACTTTTGAATGTTTGTGATTTTGCATGTTCTATGAGACTAAGACCATCAGAATTTTATAATTATAATTCTCTGGATACTGTTGATTCAAAATTCTGAAATTGTCTATGCAAGTAAGACTGCTTTGTATTCAAAAGTCAATGTGTCTTGCTCAGAAGCAAAAGAAGAAGACAAATAAACATGTCAGTGCTAGAAGTCTGATGACCTGCAACTTCTGTAACAAAACCTAATTTTTATGTGGAAAAGAAAAATGTCACCCAGTTCTTCCAGAGGAATGGTGCTAGTCTGCCATACCATTTGCAATAGCTATTGAAAAAGAAAAGAGATAGTTTGAGCAGCAACAGATGCAGTGATTAAAGGGAAAATGTCCTATTTAGATCAATATAATTGTAGAAAAATAAGACCCAATTAAAAAAAAAAATCTAAAAAATTCAGGATTTGTATGATCTTTTACCATTGCAGCTCTCCAGGTGTTTTGGTTTTTTCAGTCAACATTGCACAACCTCAGTCATGTTATGTTGTTAAATACTTGGTTACCTTACAATATCTAAAGAAAATGAACTTTATTGTGGTAAAGAGAGGAATTCTTTTATTTGTTTGTTTGTGCGTGTGTTAGTGTGTGTATCTATAAACGTAGATGTAAATAGATTACAGATGTTAACCATCACACTTTATGTCTTCCAGCTGGAACGGAATGGGATGGTGAGTCTTTCTTTGTGCTTAGGTATTTCCTTTTAAACAAAACACGCTAGCTTTTAAAATATTTTGCATGAAATGGGTTTCTTTAAAACTTCCAGTGCACTATGAATGTACAAAGTTCAGCATATGAGAACATCTGAATATAATTAACGTTTTAGTTCTGTTAATTCATTCAGATAAAGATTGGAAGTAAGCTATTTGTGGCCTCTTCCTGTTATTTTACTTTTTTCTTGTTATCGTCACTCTGTATTCTCTGAAGTAAATCGTGCTATGGATTTATAACTTGACAACCTTGCTACTGTTTCTTAAAAGCAGCTTGGAAAACAGTAACTCAGCCCTGTTAAACTGCATCTCTCCAAAGTAGCATGCATGACATGCAAGAGAGGATCGTATATTAAAGAGTTCCATGTTGGAAGCATGAAACTGTATTAAGTAGTACAGAATATAAGGCCAGTGGGCCACACATGGCCTGTTGGAGTGTCCAGTGAGAACCACACCGATTCGTCAGTCCTTGAGGCCTTCCAGTCTTCTCTTCAGAATCTTTGGTGCTCTCTGAGCTTGGTTGAGCACCAAGGACTCCACAGTTCAACCCCGAGCTACATATATTCTCTTCTATTGGAATCTTCTCTTCCTCCACCTCCTAGCTAATCTAGGCCCTGTTGCTTTGCCTGTCACTCCATTTCTGGTCCCATTTTCCTTTTTCATTTGCATCCCCCCAGCCCACTCTGTCTGGCCTTTCCTCATCGCTGGCTGGCTCTCTTCCAGCTTCTCCATGCTGCTTCTTTAGCCTTCCACAAGATCCTACCCAGTTTGCCTGTTCTCCTGTGGTCTTTCCACACTGCCTCTCCCTCCCCATCCTGATCTTTTCAAGACCTCCCATAATCCTATAACCCATTGAAAAGGTTGCAACTTGTCTTCTATAGGCAATGTTTGTTTTTTTTAATTAGTAAAGGCCACAATTACCCTGAAATTCTCTTTTAAAAAATTATCATAGCCCTCCCTACTACTGACCAAAAGCAGGTACTGCAACTTCCCCCAAGCCCCCCTTTTTTGGTAGGAGAACAGATGAAAAATAAAGCCCTAGCTTATGCTGTTTTCTTAATTTTGAAAAGGTGTCTATAATCAGCTGTGATTTTGCCTTTTTTTTCCTGCTGAAGTGGTGTATCTGCAGCTGGTGGGTGGCCCAAACCAATGTGCTGGTCGTATCGAAGTCACTTACTTTGCCAACTGGAGAACTGTGGTTTGCAGTGAAGGTTGGGACATAAACGATGCTCAGGTTGTGTGCAGCCAACTGTATTGTGGCAATGCTCTTGCTGCCTTGGGTGATGGCTCTTTTGGCGAAGGACAGAGCGGCCCTTTAATGACAAAAGTAGATTGCTCCGGGACAGAAGGCTTTTTATTCGACTGCCCTCATGAGTATCGTCCTGCTACGTGTGGAAAGTACAAAGATGCTGCTGTTATATGCTCAGGTAGGTCTTTTTTTCTGTCATGTGAAAATGATTGGAAATCAACTTTTTATACATTTGTGTAAAATGATTTATATATCATCCTTCTCTTCCTTCAGTAGCTTTTGTATTATTTAGTAAAGTACATTTATTGTAAGTTGTTCACAATATATACCTTATCATCATGCATCTTCTTGAAACTGATGGATATATCCATTAGTAAGTTTCAAATTTTCATTTACTACATGGTATATTCAAAGAGTAGACATTACTTTGACAATCTCCTTTTTTTGGTAACTTTTAAAATGCAATTTAATTTTAAGCAAAGCTTCATGAAATATTAGTAGCTCTTTTTTCTCTCACATATATATTCAGCTGCCATTTCGTTTTTGTTTTTTTCCATCAACAATTCTGGTTGCTGTTTGTTTAGAAGTGATCATAGATTCATTTGCTATGAGCTTCTGTTAATATCTAATCAGAGTTTTCTAGACGTGGATCAGAGAAAGATTTGTGTTCAGTGTAAATTTCCTTACAGTATGTGCATCTAAACTCTCTAGTCCACAGAAAGATTTCTCTGAAGCTTTTTCCTCCACAGGAATGGCTTGGGGACAAAACACATAGAATCCATTACACTGTGAACAGGATGGGAGATTCTTGCCAACTCTTCTTCACAGATCTTTCTTGAAAACTTACTGTCAATTTTCAGGTTTTGCTTATCAAGCCCTAAGAGCAGCCATTAGCAGTAACAGTTTGAACAACCCTTCTAGTTCTCTAGCTGGAATATCAGAAGAGCCTCCATAGTTGCAACCATCATGTCGTCTTACATAAGAGTAATCTCTCCTAGCAAGTTTGCTTTGCTGTTAAATCAGTTGAGGGTAGCATTCTGAGTTTTCTAAAAAATGAACTGGGCTGTTTTTTGACCTCAACCATATGAGCCTCAACCTAGTAAGTGATGACTAAGTTTCATTAAAATTATTGGAACAAGAAGTAGTTATGACTAAGCCACGCATCACTGCTGTCAGCAAATCGTGCCTGACTGTAGCTGGATTGGAGCTTCTTTCTTGATAGTTTCCTTTGTTTGTTCCAAGAA